TTTTCAAAGCTCCCTGTTTGGGGGGCTTATCTCTCAGGTGCAGGTCTTAAAAGATGGGGCACCTGATGTGGGGTTCAAGCCCTATGCTCCTCAGGGAGAGTGTCTGAGTTCCCTCCTGATTTTGGGTCACAGCACCAGGGGTGGAGTTTATGGCACGATTGTGTCTTAGTCTCTCCTACCTGCTTTGATGTGGATTTTTCTTGTTTGCACACTGTTTAGGAATTGCTTAGCTAGTTTTTAGGTCTTTTTTTCAGAGGAAATTGTTCCATATGGAGATGTACATTCAGTGTGTCATGGAAGGAGGTGAGTTTAGGAGCTTGCTATGTGGCCATCTTGAACTGGAACTCTCTTGTCTTCTTGATGATAGCCGTTCTAACGGGTGTGAGGTGAATATCACATTGCGTTTTTGATTTGCATTTCCCTGATGATTAGTGATGTTCAGCATCTTTTCATGTGCCTGTTGGCCATTTGGATGTCTTCTTTGGAAAAATGTCTATTTAGTTACTCTGACCATTTTTTAAGTAAATTTTTTTTGTTATTGAGTTATATGAGTTATTTATATATTTTGGATATTAACCCCTTATTTGATATATGGTCTGTAAAAATTTTCTTTCTGTAGGTTGCCTTTTCATTTTGTTAGTTGTTTCTTTTGCTTTGCAGAAGGTTTTAAGTTTGATGTAGTCCCATCTCTTGAATTTTGCTTCTGTCATTTGTGCTTTTGGTGTCATATCCCCAAAATCATTGTCATGACCAATATTGAAGAGCTTCTTCCTTTCATTTTCTGCAAGGAGTTTTATGGTATCACATCATATGGTTAAGTCTTTGATGCATTTTGAGTTGATCTTTCTGAGTGGTGCAAGATAGGGGGTCCAATTTCATTGTTCTGCATGTGTTTATCCAATTCTAAGGGTGCTGTAGGCCATTCATCTTGGGGTTGTATTTGCATAGCCAGCATATTGTTTTTGTTTTAAAAGTATTCTTATTTGGGGGTAACTTGATGTATGTGATGGGCCAGTGGAGATTATGGAGGGGCTAAACATTCTCTTCGACACTGCCACTACTTAGCTTTCTCATGTCTAACAGACAGAGGGAGAGAATCCTAAGGCTGGTTTAATTTTCCTTATTTCCTTTATGTTTCCTAAACTTTCAGTATAAAATCCCTCTATCCTTACCCTTTCATTTACTTTACTTTCCACTTTCATGTTCAATCCATACTTCCTCCATTTATAATTATCCTAATCAGGTATGATTTGAAATTCAGATAAATACTTGTACAAAAATTTTTAGGGCTAAGGAAGAGGTAAACAGAAGTAAGTCCCGTGCCCTAAAAGTTGACACATAGTAAACTGATTATGTAGAGATCATTATATCCTCACTCATATTTTACAAATGGAAGAAAAAAAACCTAAGTCTCAGAAAAAAGTTAAGCAAGTTGCACAGGACATACAGTGATGAAGCTCAGATTTGTCTGTTTCTAAAGTTCATGTTTTTTGGCTACACAATGCAGACTCCACACAGTAGGCACATTGTGGGAAAAACCAGCCCAGATTTGACACAGTTCTTTGAGACAAAAAGACCAGTCAGGAGAAAAAAAAAGTGATTGAAATCATGGGTTATTTTTCATTGTCTTTTCATAATGTCTTTTTTGTATGCCTTGCATGAAGGGGAGGGCCCGGAAAGCTCTTTTGTCTGTTCATTAACTTATTATCATCAATAGAAACCTTTTTAACCATGACTAGCCAGTCTGTCTCCTACTTCTCTATTTGTTGTGTTAAAAGCAGCATGATACTGGAAGTAGGGGAAGAGAGAGAGACTGAATAGGAGACTTTTCTTATAGAAGTGATAGTCTTTAGCTTCTTTTATACTGGTATCAATTCCTCCATCAACCTCCCAGCACGCTCACATTTACATACACATTTATACAGACCCCACTGTATCTTGTATCATACAATGCCCTTTCCAAAACCAGGGTACTTCAGTAAATGCTTTTTGGTTAGGCTGACTGAGGCCAGGTTGTGATCAAGCACATATTTTGAATTATATGGATTCTCCATTCCTAAGGTCAGATCCCATTTTTCGAATTACTAGTTGGTCATTTTCATATAGATTAGTAAATCCTCAAACATGTCTCAAAATCATGCTTAAGGATCTGATTAGCTGAAGATAGTCAGGTTATGTGCAATTTTATTCCCCTAAAAAGGTTTTCAAAATATACCACTAATTTGAATTATTGAATAACAGCTCTCTGAAAATTAAATCAGAAGGTCTCCAAAATCACTATTTTGTCTGATCGATCACTGTGTTTAGTAATATCTACTTAGGCATGTCCAGTTCCTAGTAGAGAAATGCTATTTGTCAGATCCACTATGTAAAAATGCCTATATACAATGCTAAATTTTCTCACAGACCTCCTATTTTTTCTAGTTTTCTCTTGGTTAATGTCACGTATTTGCAAAAAAAGATTTTATATTATCCCTTACCTGAAGTCTAATTTCATTAAAATTTTGAGCTTTATAAATAGTGAAACTCCCTAAAGAGTTGGAACAAATTACACAGTCATTCAGCTAAATATGAGATATTTCTTTCTTGAAAGCTACTACCATGTTATAAGTGATAGAATTATAAAAGTTTAAAAATTGCTCTGCATATTTTTTTAAAAAAAGTAAGTGATGGGAAAAGATAGATTCCTACTCCCAGGTTAATATGCAACCCTATAATTGAGATAAAACAAAATTTTGCCCCGCAGATAGGCCTACCCTGTGCCACGTTGTTCTATAAATATGCAGTGACGGCAGAGGAGTCTATTCAGGCAAAATAGACACTACCCTGGCCAGAAACGTAGCCTCTATTAACATACCTGCCTGACAGCTCCAAATCATATCAGTGATTTTAAAGCCAAGTAAAGGCTTTCGTTACATGTCCCAAGATAGATTCAATCCTGGATATTTTTAGAAACTATTTTTCATCAGAATGAGAATGAGCAACCCTTCTTTATTTGCTGTGTTATTTAATTATATATTAAAATATACAGTATTCTCTCCTATTGTGAGTAATCAGGGCATGCAAATATGCAGGTTTCATCCTTATATTTAAACATGTTTCATTGGAAGACAAGCAATGATATTTTTTCTCACATATCTGCCTGGGGGAAAACATTTGATCTTTGACAATTAAGGGCCTCAGGATTTAGTTATTATAGCAGTACAAAAGGATGCTTTTTACTAACTTACCTCAAATATCAAGGAAAAATTGAGATCATACCAGTTTGTTTTATAAGTCAATCTAGAATTTATACATTGCATGTGCATAATTAGTTACTTCCTCTTTCCCTGACCCCCACCACAGAGTCAATCTCTAAACAGCTATTGACTCAGAAAAGAACTAATAATAACCAAACCTAAACGGACCTTTCCTAGTATTTTCTCACTCCAAACTAAATCAGATTCTCTTCAGTTTCTGCATCTTTCTATAATATCCATGGCAATATATGATAGTAACTAACTCTTGATGAGCATTTATATATGTGCAAAGCACTTTACACTCATTATCTTACTTAATGTAAACAAAATTACTAAGAGTTTGAATGCCTATTATTTAATCTCTACCCATAATTCTTCCTTGGGAACACCAAACAAATAGGCTGCTCTCAGGCTATTTGCTCCTGAATTCATTCAGCTTATTTTTCAGTCATAGTTTGAAGCACTGAAACTGGACTAGGAGGGCCTGGTTCTTACCCAATGGGTATGGAAAACGTGTCACATCAATTGTTAGATGTCATTGGGCAAATGGAACAATGTCTGGAAGACAAAAAGCACAGTAAGCCTTTATCAGTTCTGTATAGTATAAAAGTCATATTATTTTCCTTCTAAACAAATACTGAAGTTTATTACTTAGGGAATAAAGAGATTAAATAGAGAAAAACTATGAGAAAAGGTAATGTGATGGATAAATGGGGGAAAAGCATGTGTAAAGGTAATTTCCTATATTGCCTGAGGGTGCTAGGCCCAGAAAGGATTCTAAGAACAGCTTGAGTAGAGCTGGATGCCTAAGAATGGACAGGATCAATGAAATGTGGAAGAAGGCCATGGTAAGAGAAAACAGATAACTGCTCAAGATGAACTCTCCAATGTTGTCTCTGATCAGTGCTGCTGACTCATCCGGTTGGGCCTGAAAAATTTTTCAAAATGGTCATGGAAGTTTTTCCCGGGAGAGGGTATGGTGCAGTGGAAAGTTGACGGGTTTTTGTGTTGGAGAGACTGGAGTGTGAGCCTTCACTCTACCACCTCAAGCAGTGTGAATTTGAGTAAGTTACTGTGTCCTCATCTGTTGAATAGTTGACAGCGCCTCCTCAGTGCTCAGTGTGAGAACTATATGAAGCAGCATATGCACAGCCTTTAGCGCCATGCCTGGCACATAGTAGGGCCTACCCACAAATATCAGCTGTCCCTTCTGAGTTCATAAACTTTGCCTTACTATAATGGTTTTTCATTCTGTCACATGCTTTCTAGAAATGAAAGATTATGAGACATGAATACTTAGAAAAGTAGTGGGATAAGGAGTCAGGAAACCTGGATGCTAGCACGGGCTTTCCTTTCAGCTTATTGCTGCACCTTGGACCGGTAGCTCACATTCAAAGCTTCCTTATTTTCTCATATAAAGAGTAGGATCGCATTATTTCTAGTGGGCTTCCCAAATCTTACATTCTGCACTTCCTCCAAAAGAAGGAAATCTAATAGATGAATTATTGATTAGACGTCATTCATTTGTAACAGAAAAAATAAGCTCTAAATTGAACCATGTAACAAACTACTTTAACTGGATTAGAGTAATTTTTAAGAGGTAAAACTATCACAACCCGTAAATACTCCCCCAAAATTAAAACTGCATTTTATACAAATACTTAATTTTCTTCAAAAGTATAGACCTCTCAGCTTAGTAGAAAGAAACATTATTGTGACTATTCTTGTATAAATTTATTTTGGGCTCACTTTTTATTGCAGGATCTCTACACAATTTTCAAATATCATGAAGCCATGAACATGATTACAGCTTTCTCATTTTACAGGTGAGTAACTAAACTACGATGCAGAAAAGTTAAATAAATTACCCAGTGCCCGCCCATGAGGGACAAAGATGGAATAGAGCATAGTTACTCTAATGCCAAAAATTTCATTTTCCCCACTGCATCCTTCACCATTATTACCCGCTCCCAGATTCCTAAAGGCCTAATTTGCTTTTGATAAGCTCAGATATGTTATTTTCTCTCTACAGAGCTATTTCAATCTTTTCAGAGGAATGGATATCTCTAGCTCAAATTCAGCCTGAATAACACCACCTCAAGTGAGAAGACCTCTTATACCCACCCAACATGTGCACTGCTCTACTTTCTGGTTGATAGTTTGGCACTTTGGGAAGAAAATTGATCTTTTACAGCCACTTAGTAGCATTTCTCCGAGTCCTACAGCAGTACTCTGCTAAATGGCATCTAGCTCATCTGGATGTGTTGAGTTTCCAGATCATAAACTCCTAAAGGGCAGAGTCTATGATTATTTGCCTAACTTTATGTCGCTTATGACTGTGGATGCTTAATAAATACTATTTCATGGTAATGATGATGATGACAAGTTAATGCTCCTCAAAGTGTCAACCAACCAGTCAATTTAGTGAAAGTCAAACTGGTCATTTGATGTCATAAAAAATCCAGTTACTTGATTGAATGAATTATTCAAATTGTAGCTGGCTGCTTTTATGCTTGTATAGACATAACATTAAAGTTGCTTCCATATTGAGAAGAGTTAAGAGAATGGTGCAACATAAATATTCATTAATAGTCACTTTTATCTCATTAATCAGAAAGTATGAAAAAGTTGAGTGAAATTTGCTGTTGAAATTAATAAAATATAATCATATAGTGGCATGGAATCTTGGGAATTTCCTTTAGGTAGCCCTTTCAAGCCATGAATTTATGTCATAATATTCTTGGCAGATAAATGCCCTGGCTCAGCTTCATTAATGAGGGCCTAGTACAATTAGAATTGACTATCCCAAACAGGAGTCTTCCATGTACGATTTTTTGGCTTACATAACTTTCACCTCCATTTCTAGGTTAGGAAAATAAAGTAGAAAAGTAAATCCATTGAAGACAATAAGCAATGGATATCACCAGCAACAGAATACTGAGCATCATCAGAATTATCTTGGTAATTGCTTTCGTATACCCCTTTACTCAAATATTAATATATACACAACTTGAAAAAAAATAAAGTTGGAGAACTCACTGCCTTATTTCATGACTTATTTTAGATCTTACATATTCTCACCACAAAAAAGAAATGGTAATTATGTGATGTGGTGGAGGTGTTAGAACTAACACTGTGGTGGTAACCATTTTGCAATATACAAGTGTATCAAATCAACACATTGTACACCCTAAACTTACACAGTTATCTGTCAATTATATTTCAATAAAGCTGGAAAAAAAATAAAGATACAATAATCAGGACAGTGTAGTGCTTATGGAAAAATAGACAGATCAATGGAATAGAAGATATTCCATAAGTAGATACATTCATATATGGTCAATTGATTTTTGAACAAATTTGCCAAGGTAATTAATGGGGAAAGGATGATCTTTTGAGAAAACGGTACTGGAAAAATTAGATATATGCAAAAAAGAAAAAAGAGAAATTGAACTTCAACCTTGCCTCACACCATATATGAAAATTAACAGAAAATGTATCACAGACTCAAATATAGTAATGAAAATTATAAAACTTTTAGAAGAAAATAAGGAGATAATCTTAGCAACCTTGGATTTGACAAAGATTATTTAAATACAACAAAAAAGGGCAAATTAATAAAATAATAAATTACAGATGATCAAGTTAAAGATTTCATTCTTAAAAAGGCAATGATACAAATATGAAAAGGTAAGCCATAGACTGGGAGGAAATGTTTGTAAAGCAAATATCAGACAAAGAACTTCTATCTAGAATATATAAAAAAAACTTTTTATAACTTAATCATTAGAATACAAACCACTGAATTAAAAATGGGCAAAATATTTGAGAAGTTAACAAAAGAAGAAATTCAGACAGCAAATAAGCACATTAAATTATGCTCAATATCATTAGGCATTAAGAAAATGTCAGTTAAAACCATAATAAGATACCACTAGGAAGGCTAAAATTAAAAAGACTGAAAAACTAAATATTGCTAAGTGTGCAGAAATCAGATACACTGCTGGTATGAATGCAAAATTATACAACCACTTTGAAAACAGCCATTTCTTATAATATTAAAAATACACCTCCCTTACAAATCAGTCATTCCACTCCTACGTATTTATCCAACAGAAATGAAAGCATATGTTCACACAAGGATTTGTAGATGAATGTTCATAGCAGCTTCATTTTTAATAATCTCAAAACTGGAAACAACTCAAATGTCTTATTGCTGTGAGTGAATGAGTGAACAAGTTTTAGTATATCCATGTAATGGATTGCTACTCAGCAATAACAATAAATTGTTGATATAGGCAACAACACAGATGATTTTTAAAATAATTGTGCTGAGTGAAAACAGCCAGAGAATAAAGAGTACATACTGTAGAATCCCATTTAAATATAAAACGTGATAAAATGCAAACTAATCTATAGTGACAGGAAGCAGATCAGTGGTTGCCTGGGGAATGATGGTTGGGTTGGCTAGGAAGGGGGAAATTATAAATGGGCACCAGCAAACTTTTGAGCGTAAAGGTTATGCTCATTATCTTGATTGTGGTGATGGTACACCTATACAAAACAAAACAAATTTTACACTTTAAATATTTGGGGGATATATATTTTTTAGTCATCTGAGTATCTGTGGTAACTGAAGTCATGGGAAGCATTACAGAATTAGAAGCCAGTGGGATCTAGGAAGAATCTTGATTAACTACAACATGTAACAGCTGGGTGGAGGAAGATGCACTTGACAAGGAGAAGAGAAGGAATGGGTAGAGAGGCACACAAGAGAAATAAGTATTGTATTGTAGAAGCTAAGGGAAAAGAGTGTTTCAAGAAGGACCGAGCAGCTTGTTAACGGTAAACATTGCTGCTAAGAGGTCAAACGGGAATAGTAAAGTCTATTTAATTTAGAGACACTGCAGACCTCAGCCAGATCTGTTTTTATGGAGGAATTGGGCAGAAAGCTAAATCGCAATGGGTTGATGGGAGATAAAGAAATAGAGATAGGAAATAAAATAAACTTTTAAAAGATTTTTGCCAGATAAAAACAGAAAGCAGATGTAGATGGAAGTGGCCAGAGGGAGAAGAGGAGTTATGGAAGGCTTTTTTCTTTTTTAGTTGAGGAAAAATATTACAACATTTATAACAATGTTGTGCTTTAGCTGGCTTATGAAAGTCAATCATTAAATTTTCAGAAATTTTGCAAGCCATTGTTAAACATAGCCATTTAAAAAAATTGTTATATAAAATTAGAATTAAATATATTATATTAAAGCCAAAAAAATAAAAAATCATCATTTCTTAATAATTTAATTATATTGTACTATTACCTATACTCTTGAGGTTATTTCTGTTGATTGTATCTGTATGGTAGGAATATTATATATAATGATTTACTACTGCACATCTCTTCTGAACTCTATGTTCCATGACATCATGTTTGTTACTTGAAATTGGCCATGGAGGGAGTATTTACATCATAAAAATTGTCAAATACTACAAATAAGGGCTTCATTTATTCATTTTTGTTGTTGTTGATTGTCTAGAAAAAACATGATAGAGAAAATATTAATGTTGATTAAATTTAAAAATTCTGTCTGTGAACATTACATTGTGACCTGTTCCAAAAATTGAGGAAATATCATTCCAGTATTCAAAAACTATTATGCAATTCAGCAAAAAAGTCACTCAAATCACTGACGAACAAGCTATGTTAATATAAACAAAAATATCAGTCAGTGTTGATGTCGGAACTACACTCATTTGTCAATTACAACCACAGGTTGGTTATGAATACACAAGTTTACCAAAAGCAATGATAGCATTCAGTGAGAATCAATTAATTACAGGGAATTTATGATAAAGAGTATATTTTATTATTATTTGTAAATTGTTACTATATATACTTTTTATTAATCAAATATATAATAAGTTATGCACATATATGCCTGCATGCATGTTTCCAGACAGCCAGTTATTAACCATTTACTAACACATTTATATGTCAATAAAACCCTAATAAAACAGATCGGCAAAATTTAAAAAATCCATTTATACTTGAATTTCTACTCTTTGAGAACGTGAAATGACCTTAAAAGATGGACTAGACAATGTCGACCTGGGGCAAGAGTCAGAATATAGATATGAAATATATTTGTGAGAGTTATTTAATATAGTAAGCGACATAGCTGGGGTAATGTTCAGAAAACACTGAATTTACAAACTTGGATCAATCATGCAGACTCATGCCAGGCTATGATTAAAACTCAAGCAGTTCATTTCATTTGTCATTCAATTAAGGCTCTATAATAAAAGGAATAAATACTTAATGTGGACCAGACACTGTGCTAAATATTTTAAATACATCAATTCTCATAAATATTTAAAAAATCCTTACACAATAGGTATTATTATTACTACCACCATTACATGAGCAGAGGAAAGTGAAGCTCAGGGAGATTTATTAACTCGCACAAATTTACAGACATAGTTAGTAAAAGAGCTAGTATTTGAACAAAGTGCTGCCTGACACCAGTCGTAAAGTTGCTGGTGCACCTAACCACCATACACCACTGCCTCTCGCTCATCTAATCTTTTTTCTGGCTTTATTGAGGTGTAATTAATAAAAATTATATACATTTAAAGTGCACAAGTCGATGTTTCAGTATACATATACATTGTGAAATAATCACGCAATCAAGCTAATTAACACATCTATCACTTCACATAGTTACCCTTTGCTTTGAGTTTTCTTTTCTTATTTTGTGGCTAGAACACAAGATCTACTCTTTCAGCAAATCTTGAGTGTAAAATACAGTATTGTTCACTATGGTCACATTGCTGTACACTAGATCTCCAGAACTTATTTATCATGTATACCTGAAACTTTGTACCCTTTGACCAATATCTCCCCATTTCTCCCCCTTCACCCAACCCTAAGCAACTGACATTCAACTCCCTGTATGAGTTTGACTATTTTAGATTCTACATTTAAGTGAGATCATACATTTTGTGTGTGGGTGTGTGATACACACACACACACTCAAAAGATACATGTGAGAGATATATATATGTATATATATAGCTAAAATTTGCCTTATCCATTCATCCACCAATGGACACTTAAGTTGTTTGGTTATCTTGGCTATTGTGTATAATGCTGCAATGAACATGGGAGTGTAGGTATCTCTTTGATATACTGATTTCATTTCCTTTGGATATATACCTGGAAGTAGGATTGCTGGGTCATAATGTAGTTCTATTTTTAATTTTTTGAAGAATCTCCATTCTGTTTTCCATAATAGCTGCACCAATTTACCTCCCCACCAACAAGGTACAAAGGTACCTTTTTCTCCATATCCTTGCCAACACTTGTTGTCTTTTCACTTTTTGATAAAAGCTATCCTAATAAGTATGAGGTGATATCACATTATGGGTTTGATTTGCATTTCCCTGATGATTAGTGATGTTGAGCACTTTCTCATATACCTATTGGCCATTTGCAAGTCTTCTTTGGAGAAATGTCTATTTGGGTCCTTCGTTCTTTTTTAAAATTGAGTTATTTGGTCTTTTGCTACTGAGTTGTATGGGGTCCTTATATATTTTGGATATTAATCCTTTTACTGATATATGGTGTGCAAACATTTTCTCCCATTCCACAGATTGCCTTTTTACTTTGTTGATTGTTTCTTTTGCTGAGTAGAGTTGTCTCGTTCTCTCTTAGTCCTTGAATTTTTACAGTTTTATTATAGTATGTCTGAATGCAGTCTTTGGATTGATCCTCTTCGTAATCCTTAGAGCTTCATTAATCTGGATGTCCATCTCCCTCCCAAGATTTGGAAAGTTTTCAGCCATTATTTCTTTAAATAAGCTTTCTGTCTTTCTCTCGCTCTTCTATGGGGGTTCCTATAATGCATATATATATATTTTGATAGTGTTCCATAAATCCTATAGGATTTTTTCACTCTTTTTCA